TTGCCTTTGTGGTTACTTGAGAGACAAGCTCGGTTGTATGTGCTCTTTTCCCTGCTCTTTGGGTTTTTGATGTAGAAAAAGACATTTTTCTCATTGCGACCTGTGTTTAGAAGGGGTTACAGGCATCACAGGTTACATTTATTTTGACACCACCACCCCCAAGAAGCATATTGCTTTCATGAATGCAAAATCATTCTCTTGGTGACAGCTGTGGGCTCTAGTGCCATTGACTGTTAGAGCAAATGTGGTAAGAACCAGCTAGATGGTTAATGCACTCCAGGCTCCAGAGCTCTCCAGAAGGCTCCTTCCATTCCTTCTGCTCTTCACCAGGTCCCAAACCCCATGGAGGAAGGGCAAGGGTATTAGTGGGAGTATTGTGATTATTATTTATTAAACAGTGTTAGCATTCACCTGGCCTAACTGACAAAGTGTTTATTTGAGATGAACTAGTTATGCTGATGTTTTTTTGGAGCAGAGTAATGGAGACTTTGTTCCCCAACAGCAAATTACAATTTCTTACAGTGTAGTAGGTACATTCATACAAGAGAGACTTTAGTAATATATTTAAATGCCTTAAATATTTGCATGAGAAAAGTAAAAGGCTTAGGTGAAGTATTTTGCAACATGTGCTTTCTGGTTTAAACATGCAAACTCAGGCTTGTGAGCTGCTGCCTGGGATTTACATGTGAATTTAAGAGTTCATTATTGCCCCAATGATTGATTTGGTATTGGGTCCTTATATTTTAAAGTAATCGTTATCATCTGTAGATCTAATGAGCTAATTGAAAATTGAATGTGACAGATCCCATAAAGGTGATTATTGTGATAATTCCTTTTAGAAACTTCACGATTATCCCTGGTTTTTCAGCTGATGGATTTGGTTGTGCAGTGGAAGGAAATAAATCAGAGTGAAAATGAATGTGAACCTTAAAATTCATGTGTAAAGTTAAGTATTCTCAAAGGCTCTAAAGAAGGAATGCCAGGGTTTTGGTGGTGGTTAGAGTCCTATTGATTCTACTGATAACCAGGGGGAAATAACTCCTCTTTTTCCCATTTCAGAAAGGCAACACAACACCTGGTGTCAGGGGTCCTGGTTTTGGTACTCATGAACATTCTTACAACGTGCATAGCAGTGTATGTCATCAACCTGAAATGGTGAATTCTGCTCCAGGCCCACCGTGTTAGGAAGAGAGACAATTTGCTACTTACACCTGTAAAGTCTTGGTTTTTATCCATGCATGTTGTGTACGTGGCAAGGAGCCAGTAAAAAACCTGACCTGATAGTACTGAAGCATCTGGCTAGAATGTTATTGATAAAAATGGAGTCCAAACATGCAAAAATGGTAATAACATGGATAAACTAATTACTATTCATGCATTGATAAGAGGCCCAATTTGTTTGTCATAAATCTTGGATTTTTTTTTCAAAATTTAAGTTCTTTTGAACTGGGAGCTTGTATATCTGTCTGAGAAAACCTGTATATTAGACTGGCATGTTAAATTGGTTTTGGTCTCAAAATACTGAGAATGTAGAGTACATTTATCAGGCTTTCTGCTGAAGATGTAATGATGTTTATATTGAAGGAATTTGAAAATATATTATCTTTAGTAGGGTTAGTGTTTTGTCTTACAGTCTGTAGTATAATAGGCTACTAGTAGGTGAGGCTGCTAGTTCTGTCTATTAAAAAGTCTTTAAATATTATCCTGTAGGTGACTGATTAAAAGCTTGTAATAAGGAGGGATGACTTATTAATTTCTGGTTTTGGGGTTTTTTTTCTCCTGAAGAAATTATGGAGAGAATTTAATTTTGATTTTTTTCACTCTGGTGGCTACATACACTGGCCATTGATTATGGCTCATCTCTACCTACTGTGTGTGTGCTTGTATGTACATGAAACCTATACAGATGTGTGTGTATGTGTGTCTCTCATTTTACTTATGTGCTGACTAAATATGTGCAGGTTTCCTGCTCCACGTTTAACATTCAGCTGTGTAGTTTAGGCACATGTACCTGAACTCTTGAGGCCTTTTGACTGTCTTCAAACAAGGTGTAGAAATAGCATGTGTCCTCAATAATTTTTCTTCTTTGGAGTTTTAAATATTGGGAATGGGCTTGTCTGTGAAGGGTCTGAAATTAGTGTGTATTTTCAGGATCAGGTGATTTATAGGAGGGAATAGTAGAGATTAGTGAGGAAAGAATGAAGAGCTGCATGGATGGTTTAATGTTATTTTTAAAACTACTGACTCATGAAGGGAAAGTCTTTGTTTCCCTAATCTCCCAATTAATTGTTTTCATTGTGTAGAGATTGGACAGCAGTAGGTGGGAAGTGTCAAATAATGGACACATCCTCCATGAAATGAGTTTACAGAACTCTGGCTGAACCTTTCTGCTCAGCTCCTGATGAACACCCCCTCCCTGTGTGTTGAAACTGGAGGATCCTGGAGGTATTTCAAATACTGGGGGTATTTCCAAGTCCAGCTGTTTCTAAGACCAAATCTAAGACTAGTATTTAAATCAATAAAACAATATGCTTATTAAATGTCCTTCTGCTTGTTGCATTACTCTTAAGCTAAGTGTCTTTGAAATAAATCCAGAGCTCCAGCAAGCTTCTCTGTGAAGTTACTTTCTTTTTTGGATGATTTTGTCAGAGCATCTTCACTGTCTCTTTTCAAAATGAAATGTGAATATATATATATGTGTGTGTGTATGTATGTATTTTTTCTTTCTTTTAACAAGGTTGGTGGTTCTGTCTGGGGCTCTCCAGGTGTTTTCAGAGCTCAGCAGATACTAGCACCTTTATGATGCTAGTCAGTCTAGTTTTTTTGCCTCTCCACTATTAGGGTCATGAGTGTCAGGCTTGACCACGTTGCCAATCAAGCCCTCCATGATTCTGTGCATAGTGAAGTGATACTAAATGTTGATAATCTAGGAAAAGAGGTCAGTTTGCTCTATTTTTACAGGAGACTTAAGTAAAAAACATCTCGCTACCACATTCACAATGTTTATCCCAGCACTTCTCCTGATTTTAGGAGGCAGGATCTTTCATGTGCCTTTTCTTTTCCTCGTGCTATCCTGTTCCTTCTCACAACCTGTTTAATTTCTGTGGCCTTCCTGATGGGAAGATATGATGCTCAACAGAAAATTTTGTGGTGGACTTGTTTGTATGTGAGAAATGTTGGATGATTAGACCTGGCTTTTAGTCCTTTATCTACATGAACTCATATTTTACTGAGTGTTTCCATTGCAAATAGTGGGACATCTTCTAGAAAAAGAAATGGCCAACTTTACCAGGCCAGTAGGCAGCATCCTCCCAAGATTTTAATTTTTTTCTTTGCCTATTTACTTGGTTATAGCAGTTTCCTAAGACTTCTGAATCAAATCTTCTCCTTTTTTGGGAGAGAGAGGCTAAGTATCAGGAGAAAAACTGCTCTGCTTTTGAAGATGTCTGTTTGTTCAGAGGAAATTCGTTGAAACATGTAGCTTCACTGATACTCCTCAGTTCTGTTTCATGGATTTATTGCCCTTATTGCTAATAAAAAGGAGAAAAAAAAGTTGTTTTTTTTTTCTGAAAACAAATTGAGTATTTTTTATATTTTCTGGAATTTCCTGTGTTCCACTGACAATGAACAGTAAAAAATGTGTTTCCTTTACACTGTTTATAATGGATATTTAAAAAAGACTGGAGCTTTCAGCTAGGGATTTTTGTAGCTGTTATTGGGAAGTATGACATGACTGTGGTTTTGAGTGATTTCCTTTAATTATTTTTTAAATATATATATTTATTTTTTTTTTCTTTTTTTTCCAGAGAAAACAGTAATTATTACGTTTTCAGGGAACTGAGCAGGTCTTCAAGGGCGAACCCTGTCAGTAGTGCCCACATTTTCATGTTTGAAAAGTGTCTGGGATATTTTGTGATGAAACACATTAACACATTAAATGAAACACATTAACATTCCTTGTTAATTTGTATTTGTTTATTTTAAAGACAGCATTTCCAGGACATGGCTATGGTACTGGCTGTCTGCAAAACGCATTGTATAAAGCAAACTTCAGGCAGTTTGAATATGTGCCTAGACTAGTTAAATAATAAATGTTATGGTATATTTACTTGTTCAGGCCGTGCGCGGGTCAGCAGCGGGCGAGCTGCGCGTGGATCCCGTTCAGCTGCGGTGACACCCGCAGAGGGTAAACGTGGCTGCTGAGAGCAGGGAGCTTTCTGAGGCCTCTGAGGCGTGACAGGCTTCTGCTGAGCTGATGAATTGCAGGGTAGCAGGAAGGATGCTTCGAGTATCGATTTCTTTTGTGCACAGAGCTCGTTTTGCTGCAGCTTGCGAATCGCCTTCATGAGCTGACAATCCATTAAGGATCACTTGGTGTGTCTCTCCCTTCATTATTGCTTCTTTTACTGCTTTCTACTTTACTGCCTTTAAAATACATTGTCAAGCAAAAATAAAGTAGAGGAGAAACTCTAATAGGAGCAAAGCAATTTGGCTCCTGGTAAATTACTTCATTGCAAAAAATATTTTACTAGGATACTATCTACAAAGGCAGTTAGAAGGAGCTAAACTTGTAATATTAAAATTATTTTAGAGTGTGGTAGCTCATCTAACAATTGCCATTTTGTGCCACAAAATAGAGCTTTTATTATGAGGTGATTATTTGTTTTTTGAGGTCTGAAGGCCTAAAATTCCAGTGACCGCGGCCGACGGGCAGCACAGGCCGAGGAGGCCTTGTCCTCGGGAGCGGGGCCCAGGGTGGCAGCGGGGCAGGTGGGAAAGGTGGGCAGCAGGCAGGAGATCTGCTCCCACTTCACTCAGAAAGGCATCCAGACAGGTCTTGAAAGTCTCCAGAGAAAGAAACTCCACAGTCTCGGGGGAGCCTGTTTCAGGGATCTGTCACCCTCACAGTCGAGAAGTTTCTCCTCATGTTGAGGTGGAACTTTCTGTGCTTGAGTTGGAATCTGTTGCTCCTGCCCCTGCTGCCAGGGTTGCTCGCTGACATGGGCTCCATGTGGCTGATGCTGTGGGGAGGAGGAGGACACATTGCCCAGGTAAGTTGTGGCTGCCCCATCCGTGGAAGTGTTCAAGGCCAGGTTGGATGGGGCTTGGAGCAGCCTGGGCTGGTGGGAGGTGTCCCTGCCCATGGCACAGGGGTGGGAGCTACGTGGTCTGTAAGGTCCCTTCTAACCCAAACAATTCTATGTGGATATTATTTGGTCTTGTCCATCCTGCTTAGCCAGTCAATGCCACATATGCTGAATATCTACCAATAATACCTTCCCAGTTGCAGTGCTTGGTTTTGTTCATGCCCAGGAGGATTTTTTTTCCTCTTATTCTCAGTAAGCAGGGAAATGCTCTATTTCTCTATATCAATTTGTTTGCTTTTTTTGGCAAAGTAGACAACATCTGTGGCACAGGTGCATTAGTAACAAAAATGTAGGGGTTTTGCAAGAAGACTTGGTTTTTCTCTTAATCGCTTAACTGCATTGAGGAGGTTTGAACATTTCCATTGTGGGAAGAGTTGGAGTAAAAAATTTCCAGACAAGGCTATCAATCTTAAGACTAGGCCAGGTTGGATGGGGCTTGGAGCAGCCTGGGCTGGTGGGAGGTGTCCCTGCCCATGGCACAGGGGTGGGAGCTACGTGGTCTGTAAGGTCCCTTCTAACCCAAACAATTCTATGTGGATATTATTTGGTCTTGTCCATCCTGCTTAGCCAGTCAATGCCACATATGCTGAATATCTACCAATAATACCTTCCCAGTTGCAGTGCTTGGTTTTGTTCATGCCCAGGAGGATTTTTTTTCCTCTTATTCTCAGTAAGCAGGGAAATGCTCTATTTCTCTATATCAATTTGTTTGCTTTTTTTGGCAAAGTAGACAACATCTGTGGCACAGGTGCATTAGTAACAAAAATGTAGGGGTTTTGCAAGAAGACTTGGTTTTTCTCTTAATCACTTAACTGCATTGAGGAGGTTTGAACATTTCCATTGTGGGAAGAGTTGGAGTAAAAAATTTCCAGACAAGGCTATCAATCTTAAGACTAGCAAATTAAGAGGACCACTGTACTCCATTATGGAAGTAAGTGTATTATTGTGCCCCCCCAAATCTTTAAACTTCTGATAACTTCCCACATGTCTTTGTTTTGCATCCTTTTGATGTAGTATTGTTTGGTATTAAGCAAGTCTTATCCTCTCACAAGTCCCCTTCTATTGCCGATCTCTTAACCTCAGGGGTGGATATTGACTGTGTAGTGGCTTGTGATGCTGTGGTGGAGAGCTCTATGGAAGAGTTGGACTGCATTTTTAGGAAAGAGATATTGCTGTTCAAAGTGGTCTTAGAAAATATAACTAAAATGTCCTGTGGCTCTGGCTGTTAAAATGTAGTTTAATGTAGTTAGTCACACCCGCAGGGTGGCTTTTTTATTGTGGGGTTTTTCTATTTATCTTTGTTGGTTTGTTTGTTTTTCCTACTTGGACATTTGTGTGAAGATCTGATGAATCCAACTTCTGCAGCTTCTGGTAGGTTCTGAGTTGTCCTGCCAGGAACCTCAGCCTTGGTTGCTGCCAGGAGTTCTCGGGTAGCCAATGACCTCATCAATCGATCTCCTGGCTCTCTCAGTGCAGCAATACTTAGCAGTTTCTACCCAAGAGGGCATCTAAATACATTTTTAAAAGTTGTTTTCTGCAGGAGGTTGGCGAGACTCTTTGTGCTTGTTCCCCCAACCCCTTCTTCCTTACACTTACAATTTTAGTATTGGCTGACCTACAGTATTATCTTTCCATGCTTGTTTTCCATTGACTCTGATCAGTGACCTGAGGAGTAATGTTCCAGTCACTATTTATTTTAAAAGCTACAAGTAATTCAGATCATTAAACACCTTTTGGAAACTTGTGTGTTTCTTGGTTTCTTTGGAAGACCATGGCAAGGGTACAGAAGAAAAAAGGAATTATTTTTTTCCTTTAAAGCATAGTACCATCTGGTGCAATACCCACCTTTCAGCCTCATCTCAAGAGTGGAAAAAAAGATGAGCTGGCTAAGGCTGATCAGTTCCAAGGTGAGATTTTCTGCAACAGACTGAAATCTGTCTTTCCAGTATGTCGTAGAGATGAATTTGGAATTATTAGTAGATGTAGAAGTGAATAAAATCTGTAACCCCTCCCTGAACTACCTATGGCAAATCAGGAAAAAATTTGGTGAATTAGTTTTATTGCAGTTGAAGTCCTGACTTCTTTAGTAAGCTCTTTCTTAGCTGGAAACCATGCTGTCCTGCTGAGGGTATTAAACATTGTGTCTACTGGACTATGGAAGTGGCTATAACTATCTCTGTGGTTCCTTGGAAGATAAAATTCATTTTTTAAAACTGCATAAAAGAAAGGACAGTTTCACAGCTTGAATAGTCTGTATAAAGTCAGTGTATCTTTTGGTTATATTTTCATTCACCTGATTTCGTTGTCTGGATTTCAGGTTTTTGTTCCTAGTAATACACTTGTTTTTTTTCTTCTTGTGTGTGGGTTGCTTGGTGTGTTGTCGGTTTTTTGGGGGCTATCTATTTATTTTTTTTTTATGGGAGGGATTTCTCTTTGGTTTTTGTTGGGTTTTTTTTTTTTTTTTTTTTTTGAAAGCGTTTTGGCTTTTATCAGTGTTTACTACAGCATTCCCTTTTTTTTATTTGTTTAGGGTCAAATCCTTGGCCATGTACATGGAGCATCAAGAGACACAGAAATAAGAGGTTTGTGCCATTTCTGCCTACCATGGAGTGCCAGGGGAGCTGGGGGCACCTGCTCCGTGCTCAGGTCCGATGACAGCAGGCTCTTTGTCAATTTATTCCTGCCCTCTATGGTGGTTACTCAAGCAGTCAGGTGGGGAGCTGGGTTTAACGGGGTCTGTAATTCACTTGAAACTCTCTCCAGACTTCTGATGGAGAAGGATTATTATGAAGCAACCACTGTGCTC